AAATTCCCTTGAGATGACACGAAATTATGAGGCAGAATCATGATTCATTTGGGAAATTCAGTTTTACAGAAAAGATGTTGTAATTATTCCAGAGATGCAATAATGTAGGTAATTTCAAATATGGCACAACAAAAATTTCCTTTATACATAACCATCTGAATAAGACTTCTATTCAGCTTATTTTGGTGAATGATCTGGATAATATTCAGACAATCTGGGCCCCAGGAAAATATTCTTAATCTGAAACCTAATGCATTACATAGGACTGTCCATTTTTAATCATGCTCACAGGTGGGTTAGGCACTTCCCAGGAAAATAAAATTAAAGAACTTACAGTCAGATGACCACATTCTGCCACCCATAACCTGTACATTGAATATATATATGTTTCCTCCATGAGCACTGTCACTGACTCTTGTGGGACTATTCACAGAGTAAATTACTGTATTATTAAACATAAATAAGCATGCAGTTAGCTCCAAAGTAACAGGTTTGGATAGAATGAATGTATACTATAAAGGGGAATGGACAGTTGAAAATATAATACAGACAAGTTTTTAGACCCAAGGTTTGCTGTACATGCCCTTGGCTCTCAATAGCTTCTGAGAAGGAGTCATCCTCTTCCAGGACACAGTGATATCCCTTTCACTAAGTAAGATTATAGCCTTTACTCCTTTTTGAGAGGGTACTGATTTGTGTCTCATGCAGTCACAGTTGCTTCTCTGTTTGACCCTTTTAGACACTCATATGCGTAGCACATGCTATGGAGGAATTAAAAAGGGGGTATGTGTCCGTCCTTTCCCTGGGGCTGTGACAAAATCTGAATGTTGCTGTGCCAATCCAGACTATGGCTTTGGAGAACCTTGTCACCCGTGTCCTGCCAAGAACTCAGGTAAAGTTGCATGTTTCATCTGATCGCATGGCTTGCACAGACGGAAAAGTGTTATTCAAAGTAGATTAATAAATTATTTTATAATTATAATGTGAAGAGGACTAGAAATTGTACAGGTTGTCTCTGAAAATAGTATCTCATAAAAATACCTGATAACATGGCAAAACTGTACACAGGGATTATTATTCACAAATTATTTATTTCATGGTACTTGTTATTTTATTCATGTATAGATATTTAATTTTATTAGATAAGATCCTGGGAACATTCTTTTTGAAGATTTCAGTTCGTTTGTTTTAGGACAAAGGAGATAGAATAATAAGAGACCTAACATTCTTTATTTTGGAACATCTTTTGTTTCCTTCAAACAGCTGAATTCCATGGTCTGTGTAGCAGTGGAGTAGGCATTACTGTGGATGGGCGAGGTGAGATTTTAGATTTTCTTTTTTAAGTATATGACTTAAATAAAATGGGTTCTAAAGAAGATCCAGAATGTTCTCCATGAAACTTTGAAGGTAAGAGGGTTTTGTCTGGCCTTCCAAGGTTCATTCATCCTACAGTGGGAAGGATGAATACAATCGGATCCCTCCAAAACAGATCTTTCTCCTTCTTTTTGAGAGAGCATTAATTTGTGTCACCTGCAGTGACGAGTCCAGTGCCAGTACTCATTCCACAAGTTGGGGTGGGCAGGCTATCTCCCCTGATAAATCAAAGCTGGAAGTGAAGTTGAGGGAAGGGATTCCCATATAGAAGCTGAGCAACAGAAGTTAGAAACCCTGAATATTTGGTACAGTGAAGTAAAAACTCCTTTGTTTGGCCTACATTGCCTTCATTTAAGAGGTTGGACCAGGTTTGGAGAGCTGGGAGGGCTGATGGCAGCCCTTAAGTAAGTAGAAGCAACTGAAGAAGGAATGATGACACACACTGTTATGATTTACTGCCAGAGCATTCCCAGATGAGTTAATAAAGTTGCAGCCCAATTAAACCACATCCCTTTCATTTTGTCTTTCTTCCTGTGTGGTCAGTGCAATTGTTCCAATCCAAATCAATGGAAAACTCCCATCTATTTCAGTGGGAACAGGATGAGAACTTAGGAAAGTACTTTCAGCCATAACATAGTAAGCATTTAAAAGCAACATTGAACTATAAAGGAAAAGGTCATTGCTGTACAGCACTGTAAGTGCCTAATCCTACTCTTTATCTTTTTATGGGCTCATTTTAGTGCCTTGCAAAATCTATAGATAATGTACAAGCCAAGTTTGTAAACTCTGAGCTGTCAGTTCATTGACTATACAAGATCTACTGGGTTCTTTTGGAGAGGCTGTTACTCTCACAAGAGAAATAATGGTGGTCTACAATGCTGTCAGTTCCAGACAATGGGAATTTGCATGAAGTTCTGTTTGGAGGTTATGGTCTCTGCTCGATATATAGAAGCTTAACTACTTACTAGGGAAGTAAGGCAAATTGTATTCTCCAGTCTTCACCAGGTATTTGACTAACATTGTAATGTTACCCAGGGATCAAATATAAATTAAAATCCTCTTTGGGTACCTTAAGGAAATGTTAGCATTTGCTATGCATCTCACACAACAGGATCCTGCTGCCAGGGAATCCTGCTACTGCTTATACTGAGAAATTCTGCTCATTTACTTAACCATTCCTTAAAGCAGAAGAAAACTGATCCTTACATTGGAACATAAAATGGCCCACTACTATGTTATTCTCCTCGTTCACTCCTCACACAAACACACCGATCTCCTTCTAGATAATCTCCATTAAAAGTCATACTTAACTCTTTATCTTAATCACAGTATCTTAATCTCACTGCAGTGACAGTCACCAAACCCCATTCCCATCATTCAGTTTTTGACCAGCGAGTTTAGCCCAGGGAGCTTGCTCCCTGAGGATATTAGCAGAGTTGGGAAGTAGCTGAGCCTACTCTCTCTACTTTACCACAAAAAAAAAAAGAAAAAAAAACCTTAAGAGGGCTTAGCATGCCTTCTGCTTTAGAAAGAATGTGTACTAGAGGGAGGTAGGATATAGAAGGTATAGCATGACATTTTCCCAGATATTCCAATCTCTCGTGAAGATGTTGGAAAATTCTGACATCTTCACATGAGATACAGACGGAGGAGTGGAATTTTCCAATAGGATTATAACACAATCCTTTTTATCATGTCTTATGTGTTTGAGATGCTTGGATTTCAGTTGATTACTGTAATTCTAAAGCCTTGGATTAAATCTGTTGTAAGCCTCTTAAATGCTTTAGGATCAACATATTAGTATATATGTCAGTCATGAACCTGTATTTTCAAAGTATTTCACTCAAAAATCATAACTTCTTACATAGGCCTTAAACCTACTGACAGACTTTGTGTTTTGGGTTAATGGTATTTTTATGTGTCCACCCACTCCTTAGACTTGTCATAGCTCTGAATACATGGAATAGCTACAATATTCTGTTTTGTATTAATATAGATATTAATGAATGTGCATTGGACCCTGATATTTGCTCCAATGGAATTTGTGAAAACCTACGTGGTAGCTACCGTTGTAATTGTAACAGTGGCTATGAACCTGATCCTTCTGGAAGGAACTGTGTTGGTAAGTTGCTTCATGTATTGAATTCTCAATAATTTCCATAAAAGCAGGACTAGAGTGTGAGAGGAATGGCTAGGACCTTTGGCTCCAAAGAAAAAGCACAACTTCTTTTTGAGAAAATCTTCCTCTTTAGCCCTTGCATGGCCACTACTCCTACAGTTGCTAGTATTGTTTTTGTTTGTATGTTTGTTTGTTTTTTGAAGGTTTTTCTGCTTCTTTTTAAAATTCCCATTGGTCTAGCTATCTAGGAAGTAATGGGAGAAGAGATCACTGCAGTTTCACAGGAATTAGAATAAATGTTTCTATATACCAGAATCTGTGCATTCATACTGCTGCACACTCTGTGTCAAGGGTCCCCAAACCATTTTCATCTGAGGACTGTATAGTAATTCACCAGAAGGTAATTTGCCAAAGGCCAAAATTTTCACATAATAAAATGGAGCAGATGACAGCCACTCTCATAATTAATGTAGACCTGTGGACCACTGAGACCCTCTGTTGCAGTATGCAGTGCTTCATTTTGGCTTAAGTAGTTCACAGTGGCTGCGTCTACATGAGATATTACTGCACAGTGGTTACTGAATATTCATTTTGTACATAAACAAGTACTAAATAAATGTTCAGTAACCTGAGTTACTGCAAAGTATCACCAGCTAGCAACTTTTTTGAGAAGCTGTTGCACAGCAGCCTACTACTACTGTGAAGTAGCACTGCATCACAGCTTTGCCACACAATGCTACTGCACAGTAGTATCAGGCTACTGTGTAGTCAGTGTCTTGTGTAGATGCACCCAGGTTGTAACAGTTGGAAACACTGCATCTAAGTCATTGGGTCTCCAGAGGCTGCAGCTCATTAATGAAAATGGAAGTGGCTGTGAGTGACATGACCTAATGATACTAGTTACAGGGCACGTCTGCATGAAGACACTTTACTGTGTAGTAGACTAATCTACTGTACAATAAAGTATCCCTGCCTACATGTGCGCAACACTTACTGTGCAGTAAATTGGTCTACTGCGCGGTTAGCTAGTAACTGTAGATGCAAGGTACTAGATTAACCGTACAGTAGCTACTATGCAGTAGAGCACATATAGACGCTGACCAAATTCACTCCTGGTCAGCCACACCAGGAAGGAGTACAGCCTCCTGCCTGGGGCAGAGCCACATGGCTAGGACACTTCTCTGTAGTTGGCCCAGAATGGCTTCCAGAGCCCTGGCCTGACCCCTGGGGCTTGTGCTTTCAGCTGCCTGGCCCCTAGGCACCATACCCCTAGGCTGCCGGGATGTGGCAAGCCCTAACAAAACCCAGAATTTCTGCCTGACTCCCCAGACAGCACCTGGGATAGCAAGCATCCCTGATGCCAGAGCCATCAGCCTGGGTCCCCAACTGGACAGAGAAAGAGACCGGCAACCTCATAGTGGTCTGGGGTGAGGCAAACATGCAGTGGTAGCTTGGCTGGGACACCTGGGCAAACACCCACATCTATGAGGCCATGGCGGTCTGCACGTGGGGGCACAACTGTGAGCAGTCTGGGTGGTTGTGCTGCATCAGGATCAAGGCCCTGCAGGCCTAGTGGGTCCATGTCACGAATCAGAACTGGCTGTCCAGGGCTACCTGCAGGACCACGGCCTTCATGGGGCAGCTGGACCGCATCCTAGCTTTGAGGGCCACCATGTGGACTCCAGCACAAATGGGCTGCCAAAACCAGCGCTGTGGGCCAGTGTTGACAAGGACTTTCTGAGGAAGGGCCGCTCAGGGAACCAGTGGCAGGGCCCAGCCTTCACCCTCAGCTAGCAGTGCAGGCAGCCTGAGCTGACACCTGCCCCACCAACTCTGGTTGTGCACCCCAAGTGGGGAGGCCAAGCTGGGGATTGCCCCTGTGATGAGCAGCTCCAGCTCCTCCCTGTAGGGGGCCACTGCCCAGGAGGCCAGGCGCCGTGCTGCCACTCCCTGGGACACTGCAGGCAGCCAGACCATCTTGCTGCCACCAGGGGCAGAGTCAGACCACCAGGACAACCTTCCACACATATCTGGTAAGCCCCACATAGGGAAGAGGGGGGCGGGGGTGGTAAAGGGGTGCTGTAGCCACTTGTACCCATGACAGCTCACCTGCCTGCCCCCAAGCCTGGAGCAAGGGGCCCTTCAGCGGGGGATCGTGTCCCCCTTTCCCCTCTCCTCCCTGCTCCTTCTCCTCCTAACCCTGCCTGGCTGAGCTCCCTCCTGCCGTCCTGACTTTCCCACTCCAACGTACAGGGAGGCAGGAGGCAGTTCAGAACTTTGAGTGGCCAGTAGCCTCCCAGCTAGGCAGCCAGGAGCCTGTAATCGATAGCAGTGGTGATCTCCTCAGCCACAGAGGTCAGGTACTTGTAGCATAGGCAGAGATACCCTCCAAGTGGTGGTGCACATTTCAGGGAAGCACAGGCTTTCCTGGGATGCCATCAAAACTGAGGGCCCTGAGCCAGGTTCTCAGGTGAGCCCAGGGCACCATGGCAATTAGCAACAGAAGGGCATAGTGGGTTGGGCACCCTTCGGTGCACTCACACAGCTCTTTGTGGCATGCCTGGCGGAGTCTCAGCAGGGGCATGCTTGGGGTGCAGGCCATGTGTGGCATGAGCCCTGGCTCAGGATGCGTCTCCAGAGAGCTGCCGGGGAGAGAGAGGAGGTGTCACCAGCTCCCTGTCCCAGACAGCCAGGAGCCCATCATCCCCTGACATTGGGCACTGCAGGCCTGGCAGCATGGGAGAAAATTGCCTGGCCTGTAGGGAGGAGAAAGTGGGGAGCTGGTCCAGAGCTGCTATGGCAACTGCCAGCTCTGTCTTAGCCTGGGTAGGGGATGGGGAAGGTAGGCTGCCTGCTGCAGGCAGCAAGCATCCTTCATGCCCCCATGGAGGAAGCAGGGAGGGCTCAGCCAGCGGCAGCCTATGGCAGCACCCACCTGGCCAATTTACCATAGTCCTTGGGCATCTGTGTGCACGTAACCCTTGATCTGAGGCTGGATGGCACATAGCCTCTTGGTACAGTGCTTGTTATCTCTGAAATGTTGCAAACTCTCAGAAAGAGCATCGTTGTCCTTGCTCTGCAGGTCCAGCAGCTGCACATGGGGAAGAAGCATCAGCCACTGGCAGGGATGTGCCTGTGAGGACACTGCCACCATCAGCTGGTGCCCTTCATAGGCACCACCTCCTCCAGTGTTGCACACAGGACTGCATCCTCTTGCTGGACCATCTGGTCACAGTGGCAGAGGAGCGGCTTGCGAATTTGTAGTCCTGTTGAGCCCGGGACCTGGCATGAAGCAGGAGTGGAAAAGGGACCAAGAGGACCGTGCCTTCCAGGAGAGGCTCCTCATCTTTGAGGAAAGGTACAACTCCTTCCTTGAGAGAATGTTCAAGGCCAAGGAGCAGCAGGCCACCATGGTGGCTCAGGCAGTGAAGGCAATGGAGGAGGACTACTGGGTGCTGGACGCCATCCTGGCCGTGGCAGGCAGCTTTGTACCACCTGGCACCCAGTCCCCGGCCCTAGACCCACCTGGCCCCCGGCAGCCACTTGCAGCCTGGCCCCAGCTGTGCCTGTTCCCTGGCAGCTGCCCGCAGCCGAGCGCCACACCCTGCAGTGAGCTTGGGATGAGGTTCAGTGCTGGCTGCAGCAGCCAGGGCCCCTGGTCCCTGCTCCCGAGCCGGGTCTCCAAGCAGCCTTGTCCTTCACCTAGGCTGCCAGCCATCACGTGCCTGGCCCTGAGGAAGAGCTGGCTGCAGCTGGGCTCTACTGACCCCAGCCCTGTAATGGACAGTGCCTGCCCTCACCCCTGGGTGAGCCCCAAGCCTGCCAACCTCACCACAGCATTTGCACCTGCGGTGGTGCTGCTAAAGGCTGGGGTGCTGGGCACCTCTACATGAGATCCATGCCATGGGTATCTCCACCCCACTGTTCCCCCCCTTACAGTTCAGAAAGCACATTGTACATAGTTGCATGGGGAACAGGCCCTTTATTGTTGGTGCACATTGGAGTTATGGAGGGGCGTATTGCTGGGGAAGGA